AGGTGTTGTTGTTGCACTTAGTCTGTTGGTAGTTGTAATGTTGCATTGTTCCCATCCTTGCATTTGGTAAGAGGCTTCAGAAATTGAAGGGGCATCTTCGTGTGTATTGTGTTTTGTTTCGTTTGTATTGTTTGGAGTTGTATTTTGCACCTAGTCAAGAGTACTCTTTTCCTCCACTTAAGTTTAGGGAGGTTTTTAACGAGACTCTTGACTCATGATTTATTTAATAAAAAATTGTCTTCTGCCGAGCAAAAAAAAAAAGAGAGAGGTTCATAGTACTTTATCTTTTTTTAATGCTTTTATATTCTTTTCTCCCAACTAAATTCATTTGTAAAAGTCTGTTAAATACGTAGGCAAGTGTCACGATCGAGCTTTTCCTAGATCGAGTTACGAGAGAGGGTTTTTTAACGAGACCTATTTACATTTCAAAAGAAATATGTAGGGCAAGGCAAACTTAAGGTTGTAAAAGCACAAAGCTTGAGGTTTGAGTCAATATTGCACTACCCAGAAATGTGAGGGATAAGATAGGTGTCGTGTGATGCTTATTGTGTCAATATTTGTTGTATCTTTACTGTGCATGTTTGTGTCAATTTGACATTGCTTTTGAAAGGTATTATTAAAAATTATTTTTAAGAATTATATTTAAAATTTAGTGTTTGGTCGGTCATAAAACATATTTTAAAAGATAAATTGTTATGGTTGGCATTATATTATAAAATTTAAAAAAAAAATATTTTAAATTATATTTAAATTTATTAATACCATAATATATAATATATTTCAATATAAATTACTATATATATATATATATTATGATAATTTATTATTAGTATTTCTATATATAAATATTTTAAAAATAAATTTTAAATAGGTATTATAAAAATAAAAAAGAATTGAGTTAAAAATTCATTTAAATATATAAATCATATTTTTTTAAAATATTTTATTTTTTCAAAAAATAATTAATAAAAATACTAAAATTATTAAAAAATGATATAATATAATTTAATTAACTTATGATTTATCTTGTTTTAACTTAAGCAAATTCGAAGAAAAAATCAATTGAATTATTGTATTTATATGATTTGCATGATTTTTTGTATATCTAAAAAAAAAAATTTTGCAGGAACTTGCATTCGATAAAAGTATCTTTGATATAACCAAGAAACTTACTTTGTAATAATCAATTAATATTGATTTATAACTCTTGGGTTTATGGCACACGTTTGGGTTTCTCTCTAGGTGTACATTTGCGGGTCTAATGGGTGATGAGATCTCCATTGTTGCTCCTTTGTTTTTCGTTTGGATTTCGTTGCTCTTTCTCGATCTGTTATCTTCTCTCCATTTCGTTGTTAATGAAAACTGACTGGATGAAATTGTTCATGGGTGCGGAGGAACATGTGTTGGATATTTATCTTCCATCTAGTATTGAGAGGACGCAGGTTGTACGACCGTTGATTGCGGTGTTTGATGATGGAATTTCTAAGTGGAAGTTCTCGTTGGTTGGGTAGTTCTTAGGGAGAATCTGAATTTCTCCTCTATGCACCGAATCATGGACGGAATTTAGGGGGAAACTTCTTCTCTTACTGGGTCCAACCTTTATGTTTTTCTTCCACTGAAGCTGCTACAAGGGACATGTTTTAGAATCAGAACCCTGGAATATTCAAAACAAGCCATTAGTATTAAGGAAATGGGATCCTTGTATGAAGAAATTGGACTTTGATTTGTCAGAAATATCAATCTGGTTACACCTTTTTAATGTTCCTCTCGAGCTTTAAGAAAGGATTTAGTTACATAACTGGTGCCTTAGGTTCTCCTCTGTATATGGATTCAGTTATTGCCTCTAAGGAGAGATTAGAATTTTTCAAAGTTTATGTAGAGGTTGAGGTTGTGGTGACCATTCCTAAGGCTGTGAATGTTGTTCTGAAAGATGATTCGGTGATTACTGTTAGTGTTCTGATTCCTTGGATGCCACCTTGTTGTTTGTTATGCAAGGTCATGTTGATAAGGTTTGTGTAATTAGAGCTAAGAATGAACAGGTTGGTAAGACTAAGTAGGTTTGAAAAAAGAAAGAGGTGGTTACTATTTCTGAACCTGTGGGTTGTGTGAATAGGAGTGTAGCTTCTTAGGTTAATGAACAACTTGTTGTAAGAGTTTATTAGTTACTTGAACCCGTTGAAACTTGTTTGAAGGGGAGTTCCACTGGTGGTGCTAGGGAAGGCATTGCTCTAGAAGTGTATGGAATTGTACATGCTACTGAGGGTTCTGTTGTGCATGAAATTGTGCAAGCAACTGAGGGTTCTGTTCTACATAAGGTTATTGTTTTTCATCTTGATGATGTTAAACTGAAAGGGAAGGCTATGGATGAATTGGGTAATAATGGTTTTCTACGTTGCAGGCCTCGATGTCACAGCAGAAGACAAGAAAGAGTAAAACGAGGAATAAGAAATAGCTAGCTAGTTCTTCGAACAAATTTGAGGTTTTGAATATTTTGGTTGATTATGGTGTTCGAAAATGATGCTACGAAATTGTTACAACATTCAACGCAAGTGCACGTGTTGCATATCAAGTAATAAAGTGGAGACTCCAAGAGTTTCTGATGTCAAACCCACAAGGAGCAAGAAATTACAACTTAGAATTGTTGATTATTTGCAAAAGATAAGTTTGGAATGAAATAGTGATAGGTTTATAGCAAAGATAAATTCAAAAAATTAAAGGCAAGGAACGCAGTAGTAAGCAGGAGATCAAATAAACCACTGGACCAGTAAATGTTGTTGTCATTTGGTTGTTTCCAATATGATTGTGTGTCGTGCAAAGGTTAACACATTAATCCCCTTTCAGGAATTAAACACTTAACTAATAGAAATTAATTTTCACTAACTTCATTAATCAATCCATTAACAAAGCAAAGATAATTGGTAATATACATCTCCATATACTTAAACTCACTTTTGCAAATATCGATGTTGTACATAAGTAGCATGCAACCTTAATGATTTACATCTCTAAAAATAACCAAGATTGATATAAAATAAGATATTTGTATTTCTAAAAATATAAAATGAAATTCCAGCACATAAAAGAATCATTTCAAGTAAAGATCATAAAAGAAACATTTCATCGAACAACTTATGTTCAAATCCAAAAACCCCCATAAAAATAAATCTTTCAAACTTAACAAATTTATTCCCTTTTTCAAGTAAAAGAACTATAGAAAGCTTGAACCCCAAATGATCACTACTACTACAACGGCGTTGTTGCTCCAATTGCTACTACAGTCCCCGTCATATTTAAACCTCCATGTCGGTGGAGGAAAGAAGAAAATAAAATGGAAAATGAAGAAAGGTTAAAGAATGGTTGTGAAAAGTGTGAAGGGATGCCTTATTTATAATCCCCAAATGTCAAAATATCTATCAATAGGAAAAATATGATTTTTTTTCTATATTTTCCAACCATTTTACAGTTGTATTGGACAACTTTATGATTCCAAAATTTTCTTAGAACTACCTGTTGACTCATCAGATACTGCAGATTCAACTCGGTAATTCAATACATCATCATCTCACATCAACATCTACAACATTGATAATGTCACAACATCAGTGTACCAAATTACAACAAACTATTATATAATAACCCAAAAGATATAAACCCACTCCAAATTTGCAAATGATGTAAAATATGATAAAATAAACTTAATATGATCCTAATGATGCTAAAGTTCAAACTTAACCTATGTAAAAAGATCCTAAAAAATAACTTTTTTGGAGAATCATCACACCCCCAACCTGAGTGTTTGCTTGTCTTCAAGGAAAAACATGCATGAAATGCAACTATTCTAAATAATAATGCTATAGAATAATGCCACCAAACCAAGCCAGATTTTTAATGTTCCTTCTTTCAACTCTCAAACTTTTCATTGTTGCCATAAAAGTTATAGCATCAAATGTTCTCCAATTAGGGAATGCAATTTCAAATTATCAAAATCAGAATCCACAGAGTGTTGTAGTGTACAAGCTAGGTGTATCCAATCAAGACTTAGCTAAATTAGAACAAAATTGTCCATAATCACTTATTAGGTTTCAATGTTGTAGCAACCCTCCTAAAACTAATGTTGGAGATTCCAACTTATTCTACTTCCTAAAACTAATGTTGGAGATTCCAACTTATTTCCTAAAATATTGGGGTCATTACAAGCTTTTCCAACTTATTTGATTTTTCTCATCATCTTTTTTTTTTTTCAATTTCTACAACATCTAATAAAGATATGAGATTTAAAGTTAAAAAAAATTCTAATGTCTCTAAGTATTGAGAACATAAACTTATTGTGTAAAAAGGTTTATATGATTCCTAATCCTAACAAGTATCTACAACATTCCTATGACATTTCACAGCTAATTGTTCATCATCAAGAATCATAAAAAATTCATTAATCTAGCAACATTATATATGCAATATCCTAAATGCTCTAAACAATACGAACAACAGTGCACACATCAAACAAACAAATGTAATATGAAAAATATAAATATGAACAACATAAATGAATGACACAATATGAACAACACAAATGGACAATACACCCCAAACCTAAGATGTGCATTATCATCAAAGCATGCAACAAGAAAACAATAAAAATTTAAATAAAAGTAAATAGGAAAAATGAAGCAATACTCCTATAGTGAGTCTTTTTTCGGCTAGAAAAGTTTGGGTGGGTCTTCTTTGTTGATGCCTTCTATTTCAGTTGCATCTTTTCTTCTTACTGACAGATGATCCTGTAACAATGACTATATGTAACTTTAGTTGATGCTGTGAAGCGAAGACAATATGTGATGGCTACTGGTGCGATGATCAATATGGAAGCATGAGCTAAAAAGAAAAAAAAACTAATAAAATAACAAAATATAAAAAATATAAAAAATAAAATAAAATGAAATAAAATATAAATATAAATATAAACTAATCAGGCTCGAGTTCATAGAACTAATTGAAGCAATGTGCTACGATATATTGCAACCATAATGTTTCATCATATGCCCACTAGACATGATCCAACATTCATCCAAGGGTCCTTGCTTTGTTCCTTCGATAATGCCAACAACATAACACTCAATATTGTCATTGCATTGCAGAATATTGAATGTAATATGTTGGTCATTTAGGCGCATTATGAGTTCTCCCTTGTGGACATCAACCAGTGTTCTTGTTAGAGCAAGGAAAGGTATGTCTAGTATTATTAGTACATCCTTGTCGGTTACAGAATCCAAGATAATGAAGTCTGTTTGAAAGATGAATTTTTCCACTTGCACTAGCACATTCTCTATTTTTTCTTCAGGATGAGAAATAGATTGGCCAGCAAATTGTAATGCAATAGTTGTGTGTGTTGCTTCAATCCCAAATTTCCTGAAAATAGACAAATGTGTTAAGTTAATGTTGGAACTCAAATCACACAATGCTCTAGCAATGTATTGATTCCTAATAGTGCAACGAATAGTAAATCTCCCTGGATCCTTTAACTTCGATGACAATGTGCTCATGACAATGGAGATATACCCTTCAGCGAGTGCAACAGTTTTGACTCGTCAATGCTACTTTTCTTGGAAAGCAATTTTTCATGAACTTGGCATAGTTCATTATTTGTTCCAAGGCATCAATCAATGGGATGTTGTTCCTTCATTACTTCAGCACATCAAAGGAATTTTTAAAATGTTAGTCCTCTTTGGTATTTTGAAAATGTTGAGGGAATGGAGGTGGTGACCTTCTTTTAGGTTGAAGTGGCAATTATGGTGGCATTACAGGTGGTAGTGTTGTTTTCATTGTTGGTGCCAATGGCTTAGAATTACTACATTGGCCAACATCCTTTTTCACAACATCAATGTTGAGTGGCTCAATCTCTATTTCTAGTTTTTTACTTTTCGGTTATGGTTTAGGCCTCTCATCTTCTATTTTTATGCTTATCATTCTTCCCAAGTTGGAGTTCGCTTCGTGTTGTGACAGCTTTGTAATGCTGGTTACATATAACTTTTATGTCACTGGGCAATGCTTCTTGTAGCATAATGTTCAACACATTGGCCAGCTCTCATTCGATTCTCCAATACTGTAAATGATGATGTCTGACTTTGAATGATAAAATCATTTCTTATGATGTTCTTCATTAGTATAGACTCAAGTGATGATAATGTTACATCTTGATTGAAAGTCTTCCCTTGATAGCTGTGATGGTTGCTACATTATTATGGTTGCATTTCAAGGTGATGTGATTGTTGATCTGCCAACATTAGTTGTTGCTACACATAATGTTGTTGCAACTGATGTTATAGTTGTGTATTCTCAAAATATGGATTCAATGTTCATTAGGGTAGACTATATCTTGACTTCCATATGGTAGATTAAAATGATTCTCAAAGTTTGGATTGTAGGTGTTCTTATAGGTGTATGCATTATCATTCCAATTATAGTTCCTCGTGAAATACACATAATGAGGATTTTTAGGACATTCCTCAAAATTATGATTGTCACCACAATAAACATAAGTAACAATGTATATTGACTAAACTTCATACATACCTCCAGGTTGTTGCATCTTCATCACCAAATCAGTCAATTTTGTAATATTTAAGGCCATTTTGTTGATAGCATTATTATCCACTGCAACAGAAACGCATCTCCTTGACATCATCCTTGTGTTAGGATATTGGTAATCATTGTTGGAGATCCTCTCAAGGATTTCGTAGCCTTTATTGTAAGATTGTCCAACAATGATCCATTGGCAGAGGCATCTACAACCATTCTTGTTTGCATATTAAGACCATTGTAGAATATCTCCACTTGTTTCCAATGTTGAAACCATGCATCGGACATTTTCACAGCAAATCTTTAAATCACTCCTAAGCTTCATACAAATTTTCATCCTTTAATTGCTTGAAATATGTGATGTCATTCCTCATTCTCGCATTCATGTTGGGAGGATTTAATCATATAACAAATTTTTTGGGCAAGCTCATTCCATGATGCAATAGCTCCAAGCATCAATGAGTTAAGCCAGGCCTTGGCTTTTTCACAAAGAAAGTAAGGAAATAATTTCAGTTTCAATGCTTCATTCGGCACTCATTTTTGAAAAAAAATAATCTCACACTTCAATGACTGCTCTCAAATGTGATCTAGGATTCTCAGTGAATAAACCACTATACTACCCCAAACACTGCAATATTTGGATCATTACAGGCTTCAGCACGAAGTGGGTAGCATGGATAGCAGGTCTAACGATGTTAAGATTAAGATCATCTAAGGTCAGCATAACATGCTCTCAGATTGGCATGTCGTGGTTATTGATGTTGTACCAATTTTACGACACCAAAATATTTTGCAAAAGGAGAACACCATATTGAGCCATGTTTGGTTGCAGTTGATGTTGTTACCTCCTACGATGGATATTTCACTTGATTTTCAAATAAAACAATTTTAAGTCCTCAATGTTATTGCGTGTAATACATAAACAACGCTATGCTAAAAAGAAAGTACCTACAAAAAGAAAAAAATAGTGAAAACAAAGAAAACAACTCTAATGCAATATCATTGCTCCCCGATAATGACACCAAAAATTTGATTCTACAAAATTGTTACAACATTCAACGCAAGTACACACGTCGTATATCAAGTAATAAAGTGGAAACTCCAAAAGTTTTGGACGTCAAACCCATAAAGAACAAGGAATTACATCTTAGAATTGTTGATTCTTTGCAAAAGATATGTTTAGAATGAAATAGTGATAGGTTTATAGCAAAGGTAAACATTCAAAATATTAAAGGCAAGGAATGCAATATCAAACAGGAAAGCAAATAGACCACTGGACCAGTAAATGTTGTTGTCATTTGGCAGTTTCCAATATAATTGTGGTATGGTAATATGATTATGTTTCGTGTAAAGATTAACACATTAATCCTCTTTCAGGAATTAAACACTTAACTAATAAAAATCAGTTTTTGTTAGAGTACGCCGAAATACCAACCATATGATGATTGTATGGACATATTTTATTTACCGATTTCATTAAATAAAGGCATTTTCACTATTACTTTTAGTTATATATTTGTGTCTAATATAAACTGAAAGATAATAAAGTCCATATGATAATATGATTATTATTAAATATCTTTAGTCGAATATTATTATGGTATGGACAATAATATTTTTAAGACTAACATGTTTTTGATTGATGACAATAAATTCTCATTGACATAGAGATGTCAGAATCGATGCATGAATAGGTTGCTAGAGAATGACATATTGGATTGTCCCACTATGAGCATGTCTTGAATTATTATGTGATGGTTATAACATTGCTCATAGTGATGACTATATGTATGATCCTCAAACTTGAGATCATTACTATCTCAACATATATTGTTGTATGTTTTGATACAGTTAAACATGTTCCGTAACTGGTTGCACTATAAAGACTGATATTGAACATATCTTGATATATGTAGTAGGGTATTTATGATTAAGATAGGATTTGTCCTTCCTACATAATAGGAAATATATCATAGGCCACTTGATTGAGTGAGACTAGAAATGCATGACCATGCTCAAATACGTTAATATGAGATATCACAAATTATTTGTTAATTATAGTCTACTCTATATATCAAGAAATAATAGTTGGGTTATACAAGTGTGACTATTCCAAGACTTACGCCTATTCTAGATATAAAGGACAAAAGGATGTAATACATAAAAGAGTTATTCACGAAGATGATGTAACACCTTTAACCCGTATATGTCTCAATATACTAGTCAAAGATGTCACATCAACTTGAAAACATTTACTGAACTAAAATTTCCGTAAAAATTTGTTTCTTTTGAAAACACTCTGGTTCTAACTTTAAAAATATATTTTAAATTATATTTCAGCTTATAATTTATTTCTTTATTATAGGAAAATAAATTCATTATTTATTCAGTGATTTTACTAAACCATGTCTTTTCGTAAAATCTTTTAAAAACATAATAATGTAATAAATTCTTGTCATACATAGATACCGATAAAACTAAACTAAGTAAAATAAACTAAAATAGTTATAGTTTATTATTAAAAATTATTTAAAATAAATACGATAATTAGAAACTACTGACATAATTATACATGCCACTATAAGTCAAAAGAAACATCATAGACGTCTTACTGATACTGATGATATGTATGTCTTTCCAGAAAGATGCTCTGATAGCTCCTTACTGATCGTACTTATCCTTATTAGAACCTACGCATAAAAATCATCACGCGCTAAGTATAACTTAGTGAGGCAGTAATAATCTAGGGTGAGTAAAATCTGAAATTATCATAAACGTAAATAAAATAATTCAACATAAAACAGTAAACTGGCAAACCAACTTATCCAAGTTGATTTCTTCACTGAGACCTGAAATTTCTTTTTAAATCATGAACTCATGAAAATTCTGATAAATCATATCTAATAAAATAAGCACATCATGCTTTCTGTTAACTGAAAATCATTCACAACTTGCATATTCATTTTCATAGCCCAATGCATATTTATAAGAACATAAGATACGCGAGTAAGGTGCGCAATATGCACAACACGGTGCAAATCGTAATTGATATTGAGATATGATGCACTTCAGTGCCATCATAACTTGAATAAGCACCAACGGTGCTGGACATTGATACGCGAATCTACCAAAGCTGATAGGATAACATTGATACACCAATGTACCAAAGCTGATATGATAACATTGATACACGAATGTACCAAAGCTGATAATATTCAACTAATGGCATGCCAAGTGTACCCATAATTCTCATTATACATACAATGGGCTCATGTGTCATAATTGAATCCATAATCAAAATATCATGCTTGGGCAGTTCATACCCTAAATCATTCATAAAACTGATATAAAATATTATAAAAATAATCTTTAGAAACTTTATAAATCATACTGTAAATTGGAATGAGGTTGACTTATCGCAAGTCGTCCTCGATCAAAATTATTAAATAAATAACTGCACTCAACTTTGCCTCACTACAGAACTTGCATATAATAATCCTAGTCACGAGCTTTGTCCTTTCCTTTCGAACCGTTCGGATTGCTAGATTTAACGTAGTCTAACAATACCAAATTATAACACAAAAATTATTCGAACTACATATTAGCATCGTACTAATATAAGCTCGTTTTAACATTTGAAAATCTATATAATAAAATCGATAACTAAATCGATAACAACCAAACTCATAACTCCATTGTAACTTCAAACTTATCGAAACACTTATTCAATTCCATAAACAATTATTTCTAACATGATTCTTTAACTTTTACGAATGATAAAATCTAACCACATATTTTAAATTCTTCCTACAATTCAACTCAACTTTTCCTTTAATTCATAATGGTCCTTCACCATTATGATAATTGTACATTAATTACTAAAGTTCAAGCACTTGAATAAAACAACCAAATAATACTTCTTCATTTAAGAACTTGCAAACAAGTCCCCAAAGTTTTGGAACCTTTCGAATTCCACCTCTAACCATTAAAGTGAATTCTTTTAGAACTCTTCTCAAGATTCCCAATTTATTCAAAATGGTCTCTTGCCATTTAACTTAAATTCCAAGTATTAAAAAATATACTCAACATTTAAACATTACTCTTCATCTTCTACTTCATTTCAACTTAAATTCTAAAATTTACATATTCAAACAACTTGCACTACCTTTAAAGAATCAGTATTCTGTGATGATATACACACTGGAATTTAATTCCGTTTCTTCCATTGAAAAATAGACTCGAATACGAATCTATCCATATAAATAACTCCTTCTAATTAATTCTTTACAATATATGGTGAATTTTCAAAGTTGACCAACAGAATCTGTTTTGTGCAGAATATACTGCCCGTTTTTCTGACCTTTCCTCAGTTAAAAATTCATATCTTTTTGTATACACATTGAAATTGGTCTCCGTTTGTTTTAAACAAAACTAAATTGATATATGAACATAATATATAAAAATAACCTCCAAATAATATTTATAGAATTTCTGGTGAATTTTCAAACTCACTGTCAAATTTGAAAATCTAAATTGTTTTCATTAATTTGCATCCTTGGTTCTTCTTCAATTCTTACAACACTTCTAATATCAAGAATTGATCTTTAATCATAAAAATCACACTTCCCCTTCATCCACCATAAATACCCATTTTCACATTTAAGCATGAAACCAAGAAATAATTATGCCATCTTGTAGAGAAAATAGGATAGAACAATTTTCTATTTCACAATTTAATCCCAAAACTCACCAAATTTGACCAAAAATAGAAGAAAACAAACTGACTCACCTTGTCTATGGGTTTCAGCAACTATCTAGAGAAGAGAGAAGAGTTTCACGATGGTTCTCAAAACATATCTCTAATTATTAACCTTTAAAACTAATTAAATGAATTTTTTATTCCTTTTTGGACCAAATACCAAAATTGCCCTTAATAAATCTTGAAAATTACCAAATGCCATTGTATTATCTTCTATTAAAATATTCCTTGGTCAAAGATGATACAACTTGACTTTGAATTCGAAATTGACCATGCAATTTTAAAAATTGCATTTTAGTCACTAAAATTCCATTTGTTTGGTCAAATCTGAACAATTGCACTGTTCTGAGCCAAGTTTCTCCGATCGAAAATATGAAAATAATATTTCCAACCATTTTAAAACATCCTTCAAATTTTTGTAAAATTTCGGTTCGATCCGATTATCTGATTTCAATACCGAAATTTACTGCTTTATAGCTTTATCACAATTCCTGCACCAAAAATATGATCCCCACTAAAATCTCTGTTTTAATCCAAACTTTTCATTTACAGGCATAAAATATATATAACTTTTAAAAATTACAAATTTTGGGTCCTAAACTTTTCAAAGTGTATACT